TCGAAAACATCCTTTCGATGCCCTGGAGCTTTAGGAACTTACGAATGGGTAGTGATATCTTTTGGCCTAAAAAACACAGGGGAAACATATCAAAGAGCAATGAACTCAATATTCCATGATTTTATTGACACTTTTATGCAGATTTACATTGATGATGTTGTTGTTAAATCTGTTTCAGGGAAGAATCATATAGACCATCTTCGACAATCCTTCGAAAGGATGAGACGCTATGGTCTGAAAATGAATCCTCTAAAATGTGCTTTCGGCGTAAAAGCAGGGGATTTTTTAGGCTTTGTGGTCCAAAAGAAGGGAATTGAAGTAAACCAGGACAAGACCAAAGCTATTTTGGAAGCAAAAGCTCTAACTAACAAGAAGGAGTTGCAATCTCTACTTGGTAAGATAAACTTCCTGAGGAGATTTATTTCCAACTTAAGTGGGAAAATGCAAGCCTTCTCATCACTACTTAGACTCAACAAAGGAGGCTTCGAGTGAGGGCAAGAACAACAAGAGCCTTTCGACAAGATCAAAGAATACCTCGCCAAACCACCCATTATGGTACCTCCTTGTAGAAATAGAAGTATGAGATTGTACATAGCTACATCCGATAAAACTTTAGGAAGCATGTTAGCTCAAGAGGATGAGAACGGTGTCGAAAGACCCATTTATTACCTCAGTAGAGTTTTAAACGATGCAGAAACTAGATATAGAGAAGTTGAAAAACTTTGTTTATGTCTTTAATTCTCATGTACAAAGCTCAAGCAATATATTAAACCAGTTGATGTTTTTGTTTCGTCTCATTTTGATGTTTTCAAATATATGTTGTCGAAACCCATCTTGCACAGTCGAATTGGAAAATGGGCACTTGCATTAATTGAGTATTCATTAAGTTTTATGCCTCTTAAGGCTGTAAAAGGTCAAGTGGTAGCAGATTTTATAGTTGACCACTCAATAAATGAGGAATCAATCACCTACTTAGAGATCGAGCCTTGGTAGTTATACTTCGACGGTTCTAGTCATAAAGACGGAACTGGGGTAGGGGTTCTAATTATTTCTCCAAACCAAATTCCAACAACATTCAAGTACAAGATCGAAGGTTCTTGTTCGAACAACGAGGCTGAATACGAGGCTCTAATGGTAGGCCTTGAAATATTGTTGGATATGGGACAACTCGAGTCAAAATAATGGGAGACTCAGAGTTAGTTATAAAATAAGTTACAAAAGAATATAAATTCATAAGATAAAATCTTATCATGTATTTTGTAATAGTCAATCTTTTGTTGTAAAACTTTGAAAAGATCAACATCTGACATATACCAAGACTGGAGAATCAAGTGGCTAATGACTTAGCACATATTGCATTCGGGTACAAAATTTTGAAAGAGAAATTACAACAGGTAATCGAAGTTAAAGGAAGAGTGACATTGACCAAGTTGTCTCCAACAGATTTGAAAATAACAAAGTTGGGGTACGCTGATCACGAAAACTTCGAAATTTCGTTCATAGATAATCTAACAGAACAAGATTGGAGAAAGCCTATAGTGGATTATTTGCAAAATCCCGTAGCTTCAATAGAACAAAAGATAAAGTACATGGCGCTGAGTTATACCCTAATGGGAAATGAGTTATTTAAAAATATGCCTAAAGGGGTGCTATTAAAATGCCTAAATGAAACAGAGGCATACATAGCCCTTTCAACTACACATGTTAGGGCATGTGGAGAACACCAAGTGGGCCATAAAATGAAATGGTTATTTTTTTGACATGACTATATTGGCCCACTATGTTGAAAGATTGTGTTGAGTTTGCAAAAGGATGTCAGGAATGTCAAGTACATACAAGTATCCAACACGTGCCTGCAAGCGAACTTCACTCAATTGTGAAACCTTGGCCTTTTAGGGGATGGGCTTTGGATCTTATTGGAGAGATTCGACCAACGTCATCTAAAACCCAGAAGTACATATTGGTGGGCATTGATTATTTTACTAAGTGGATTGAAGCAATTCCTTTAGTCAATGTAGACCAGGAAAATGTCATTTAATTCATTCAAAAGCACATTATATACAGGTTTGGAATCCCGGAGACGATAACAAATGATCAAGAGTCAGTCTTTATTGGTAGAAAAATGCAAGAGTTCGCTGCAAAAATGGGGTTCAAATTATTAACATTTATGCCTTACTATGCACAAGCCAATGGTCAAGTCGAAGCGGAAAACAAGGTAATAATTAGCTTAATAAAGAAGCATGTGGGAAAGAAGCCAAAAAATTGGCACAAGACTTTAGATCAAATTTTATGGGCCTGTCGAACGTCTCCTAAGGAAGTTACCGGAACAACACCCTTTCGACTAACTTACGGCCATGACGCAGTACTGCTAGTAGAAATTTGTCTACAGTCAACAAGAATTCAGAAACATCAAGACATCCCTTCCGAAGTTTATTGGAATATGATGTTAGACAAATTGATTGATTTGGACGAAGAAAGATTGAGGGCTTTGGATCTCTTAAAGTCACAAAAGAGGAGAGTGGAAAGATCTTACAAAAAAAGAGTAAAACCCAAGGTATTCATGCCTGAAGACCTGGTTGTAATACCCCAAATTTGTCCTACCCTTTCACTCTTATCTGGCTTATGCATTTTGTACTTTTCTCATGTACATAACTCCCATTAGGTCATCTAACATATCATTCATTCATTAATCAATAAATATTTAGCACTGTTGAGGAATTGGGGTTATTGTATGGCTTTAAGGTTCTCGTCTTCATTCAAGGAATCAACTGGTTTCATCATCAATCATGGTTTGTGAAGCTAGGGTTTTTGTGTTCAGGGTCAGTGATAGTTGTATTCTCCTCAAGCTACGAAGATCATCAAGTTCTCCATCGAAGGGTTGTGACTTGTTAGTGCAAGGTTTTTATCAATACCTCAAATAAAGACTTTGCAAGCTAGGGATTGGGTCTTCTTAGCATCTCAAATTCATCTCAAGGAAGCTTAGGGTTTTGTGATCACCATCATTATTCATATGCTTCTAATTTCTCATATCTACAAGGTTATCCTTGACATTTGCTTGGAGATCATTAGTCATCAAAATGAGGTGCCTTTGCAAAGTGAATTGCAAGATTTAAATCATGGTATAAAGGTAATGTTGTGGACGCGTAATATGATCAAGGCATCATTATTATTTGTCTCCTCGATTACAAGAGGTGGATATAAGATGGAAACTAAGAGTTTTAGCAAGAGGGCGAGATTGATTTTGTTTGGTTCTTATGGATTCGTTATTTAGAATCATTTGAAATACTACCTAATATCATGGATTAAAGTTGTTTGAAGTTTCATTAGAAGAATGCGGATTTGGACATGGGACTTCGCATGAATTTAATGGAATCAATTCTAAGTTGGAAATTATTTGAGATCCTATTCAAGAGTCCATGTTAAGCACTTGTTTTTCTTTCATCCTATTTGTTGGTACTTATTCAAGCGTCGCAAGAATTAAAGGAAAATTGGGAAATTAAAGCAAAACATATAGGGGGAAGACGAATTCCAAACTTTGTTTTAATGGAGAAGGACAATTGCATATTACATTCATGAGATCCATCACAATTTCAATCTTTATTCAAATTGCACCTAAATCTGTTCAAAGCACCATGGATATGGAAGTCATTACAAGTCAACATTCAGAAATATTCAACAAAGAGGATTGGGAATACAAATTAGGCATTCAATAACAATTCAAAAGCCATTTACATCAAGGCTGCAAAATCACATCAGTGGAAACCTAATCCTAAACTAAACATAACCAAGTTCTTCATCTTCAGTGACCTTCATAACTCATTACCCTCCTGTCCATAATTAAATATTCTTGCCTTAACAATGATCCTCCATACTCTTTGTCCATATCCAATTTCTCGTCTCGGGCCTCATACTTCAAAACCATTGCCTTGCAACTTTGAATGATGGGACGTTGAGATAGGTCCAATTCACAAAAACCATTAAGCCGATCCCGCTGCACCATAAAACCGCATCTAATTTAAATTTCTGTCAAAAAGCACATACATGATTCAATAACAATTCAAGCCAGTTCATATACGAAACACAAAAAATATCCACAAGCTCAATTCAACCCTGTAGAAAAACCATAAAAATCAAAAGTGGAGAAGACCTTTTGTCCTAAACAGAGCTCTATTTGTTGCGGGCGAAGGGCATGTTACATGAGCCATCATTAGTTTGTATAATCATAACAGAGGCGTATGTTCAGATTGAAGGGCAGGGAAATACACTAACCTTTTACTATTTTTTTATCTAACAGTTTTTAACCAAATTTCTAACATGTTAACTAACATCTCCTAACCAAATAAATCTCAACTAATTTTTAGCTTAGTTTCCAGCTAACAACCTATAACAGCAAAATCTTAAAAAACCATTTCCTAACAAAATTTTTCTAACCGCCCACATCCCTGTAACCATATCTCAACTACTCTAACTGCCAAAACAGAATTCATAACTTCCTATCTTCTAACTAACTAACTTCCAGTCCAACAAACTTTCCATCCAACTATAATAAATAAACAGCCTAACAGTTTTCTAACTGACCTGTAACCAATTCCCACTCTCCTAACTCTCATCCTCTAACCAAAGCAGTTACTAACAGAAACAATAACCAACCATAACAGGATATAACAGAAATGGAGAAAGATGGAGAGGATTGGCGGTTATTTCACAGTTTATATTCACAGAGAAAACAGAATCCAACAAAAAAGAGAGGGGAGAGTTGAGAAAGGATAACAGATAACAGAGTAACAGAAGAAGGGGGGAGATTGACGAGTCAACAAAAAAACTCAGATTTAGAAAGTGAAGAAACTCACCATAAGATCTCAATCTTCTCTCTCTGGCTCGGCACTTCATCTTCCTAAATCTCTCAACTCTCTGCATCTTCAATCATCACCAACCTTCATCATTTCTCCATCTCAAATTCTCTATGTACTCTCTTAACAACCACGACACCTTCATCTTCAATGCCCAACCCACGACAACTCTGTATCACAACTGCACTACATCTTCATCATGCTCCTATATCTCTGAACAATTCTTCATCACAAATTCTTTATCTACATAACAACACCATTGTACCTCCAATCATCTTCATCACATTAATCATCGCATTCAACATCAATATCAAAGCTTCAACAATCTGCAATTCTGAATTCGCAACATTAACAACAATTCACGCGTTGCCAAAGATCGATGAGTGAAATAGCAGAAACCGAAACTCAAGGCAAGATGGAGGATATATCAAAAAAAGAAAAGAGTCAAGAATTCCACACCTTCTACGTTTCTGTTTGTCGCCGCTGTCATCGAAGATGCGTCAGATGAATTTATGTCAATAAACCTTGAATCCCTTCTTCTATCCTATTTTGTGTGTGATTCTAATTCTTCAAAGTTTGAAGATGGAAAAGTTGAATAGAAAGTTAAACGAAGAAGAAAGCGAAACGGATAGACAAAAGAGAGGTTGTGTGTGGTGCGGTTGGAGCTATCACAGTGGCGGAACTATCATGTTGAGGCTAAGATGGAGATTTCATCGAACAAGGAAGCTTGAAGCCTCCATGGAAATTGACCTAAGGAGAAGACGCAGACGTTGATGGAGAAGGCGTCGCGCTGAGCAAAACGGGGAAGAGACTGAGAATGATAGAGTATGACAGAGTGTCGTCTGCAGCGTGAAGAAACAAAGAAGATGTCGATGGATGCAGCGGCATGATTTTGAAAAAAAGGGAAAACAGTTAACCCTAATCTCTCTAAACATGTTTCACTCTTTGCATTATTTATTCTTAACCTGTTTAATTCAATTCAAGTGAGGATTAATTGGATAATAGGATAATTATTGTGGATAGGCCGGACCACAAATCCCTTGCCTGGGCTCATTGTAATTTTGTACGTCACCTTATGAACAAAAAAAGTTGATTGGACTCATGTTGATAGGCCTAGCGCCCTTGCTTCAACACCCCTGGTTTTTGCTTGTAATTAATGATCATAAGCCTCTTGGTACTATTTTGGTGTAATTAAAAGGGCTTTTTTGATTCATTCTGAATTGGGCTTAGAACTAGAATTCTGAATTGTTGGGTTATACACCATGGTCCATAGATAGCACCTCTTGGATGTCTCTGTTTGATTTGCTTCTTATAATTTTGCGGATAATTTTTAATTGAGAGGTTGAAGCTTCCACAAGTATTATGTAGAATTTTCCTATCGTTTGTGTGGCTTTGAAGAAGTAACGGACCTTCTCCATTAGAAAATAAAAGAGACTTGATTTTGAAGCAAGCTAAGAGATTAATTGTCATTAAAAAATTCTAGTAAAATTTTAGTAGAGTTTTCTTATTGCTTGCATGGCTTTGAAGAGGCAACGAACCTCCTCTATTCGGTGTCATTGCAACTTCACTTTTATTCCTCATTTCCGCATTTTACCGCTTTCTAGATATCATGAGAAGTAGGAAATAAAGAGCGTGCGCTCGAAGTTGCTATTTAAAGACCTGTAACAGGCATTCCAAACTTCATTTGCTATATGTGTTGTGCTTGCATTTGCTTCTTTTCTTGTTGATCGATGAGTCACTCAATTTAGAAATTGAGATCATGACTTTGCTCTCAGTGCATGCTCCCTATAGGATTTTATCGCTTTCCTTTATTTCTTGTTGATCGATGAGTCACTCAATTTAGAAATTGAGATCACGACTTTGCTCTCATTGCATGTTCCCTATAGGATAGTGTTGTACCCCAAATTTTACCCTCCCATATTTCTCAAAACATTTCAAGAAAGATCCCCAAGTTGCTCAAGGTAGTCCAAGGGTTGGCCAGACAAGCTCTCTCCTAAGGCAGTCTACCTCAAATTAGGGTTCCATATTGCATCAACTTACTTGAGTCCAAGGGATCCAAAATTCTCACCATTGTCCTAATATGTTCTCAAGATCATCCATGTCAAGCTTCAAGCCCTACAGAGAATCTTTGCCCAGTCAATTGCTCAAAGGCCTGAAAATCGACTATGCTAGGGCAAAAGTCAATTGTGGCCTACATACAGTCAAACTTCAAGATTTTTGGTCAACATCCTCATTTTGAAGTATATTTCATCATTTGATCAAGGTTTGATCATGATTCATCAAGGACTGCTTATAATTCCTCAAGAACCAAAAGTTGCTAAATTAGGGTTTTGTAGGAAAAGTCAACTCAACTTTGACCAATCATAACTTTCTCATACTTTATGAGAAATGACCCATCCAAAGCTCATTTTGAATAGGATTCCATTATCTACAATCCATATTCAGCTCCCAAGTTCAAAATATGCACTCACAAGAAGTTATGAATTTGGACATTATAGGTCATTTTGAAAAGTCAACAAAAACACCTTTTTTGTCAAAGCTTCATACATGAGCATGGAATATAAAATTGATATTAAACCAAAAGGGTTGCTTAGAGGACATCTTAAGATTTCTAAAAAGTCCAAGAACACCTTCAAAGAGTCAAAATTGAGGAAGTTATGCATTGTTGAAGTTGACCTTTTTTGCAAAATTGCCAAAAGCCAACTATGCCTAAAAATGCAATTTTTGCTAAATGGGCCCAATATTCTTCACTTGTTTTGAATTGAAAACATAGTCCATGAGCCCTAGCCCTTTCCACTTGTCATTATCATGTTTTTAATATTTATTTTGATTTTTACTTGAATTAAATCAATTTTAATCAAAATAAATCATGAGAAAATCTAAAGCATTGAAAACTCAAGATTTTGTACTTTTTTCAGGTCTCAAATCCAGTTGGCAAGTATTTGAAATCGTGCATGGCATTGGTGTGAACAAAAAGATTGGTTTTAGGCTATATTTGGAATGATATTCAAGAGAATCAAATCAAAATCAAATTCATTGATGGAGGAAGATTGAGATCAGTTTTGGAACCCTAATTCACTCCTCAATACATATAGAACCATTGCAGACCTAAAGCAAGGCTAGAAGGAGGCGCAGCATCAAGAACAAAACTTGAAAAAAATACCAAAAAAGTGCAAACACGAATTGATACTTCCAGGCATCCTCAAGGCCTTCTAGCTGTCTCAATCACTTCCTGGGAGTGTAGGCAAGCAGAACCAATCCAGAACAAGCGTTTTCAGGCCTTATATCTCGCTGTAAGTCAGTCACGACATGACTTCTTTCTTAAATTCGAATTTCAAAATCTTGGCATCCCCAGCATAAAATAATTGTATATTATTGTTCACCATCATATTTGCAAGCTTTCTGTAATATTCAATTGTGTTTTCATGGCCTATATTAGATTTCACCATTATTAGGGTTTCTTGCTTAGATTTGGGATCTTCGTGTATAGGAAAAATTAGGCCATGAAAGGGCCACCATTGAACTCAACAGGTCCAGACGAAGCTATCCATGGCCTTCGTTTTTATTTATCACGCTTGCATTGAGTTTTGAGATTTACAGGACCTGTAGCTATGGACGAACGTCCGTAGGTAAAAGTATGGGACTTTTACCAACGGAACAAGGTTGAAGACGACTAGCTGGCAAGCAACCATTGGTCCATTCAAACTTCTGGCGCGCGTTTTTTTATTATTCTCCACTAATGCGCTTTATCATATATTACTATTATTACTTATTATGTATACAAACAAGAACAAATGGCGCAGTGGTAGTGGAGTATGTGCAAAACGCTTCAGGACCTGGGTTCGAATCCCAGGTCCCCCCTTTCTTTCATATATTTTGCCTTTTCAGGATCTAGCGCATACACAAGCCAAGGGACTACCATATACCTCACCATCCAATCTGCCAAGTGGCCAGATGGCCAAATCTGATGGCCATCATCTGAAGGACCATAGTATGCCCAATTAACGCATGGCAGGAGATCATGGAATGTCAAACGGACCTCTTTGCTTCTTGGGCCCAAATTGCTTCTCACACCCCCCTCAATTTGCTTGCAGGCCCAAGTTTCTTATTCCCTTTCTTTTTTATATTTTATTTAATTTATTTATTTATTTATTTTACTAACATAATCAATTATTTCTTTTATTAAAAAATCACAAAATAATATTTTTCACCAAATTAGGTTTAGATTTTATTTTTTATCAAAAAATTAATTAATTTAATTAGGTTGTTAATATTATATAACTTTAATTCTTTTTACAAATAAATTAAAATTAATTAGAACAATTAGGTTTTTACTTCTAACTCAATTATATTTTTCTTTTTCTTAAAATAACCAAAAACCAAAAATAGGCCATGTAATCATTTTCATTAATTAATTAACTAATTAATTTTTGTATTTAATTTAGAAAACCTAATTCTTTTTTTAAAAACAATTAAAAACAACAAAAACAATTTTTCTTTTAATTAGGTTAGAAAGGGTCAAAACCCTAGTTCTCTCCCGATTTAAATTTCATCGTGCGCGCTTCGTTATTTATTTTTATCCTATTATTCTAATTGCTCACAAGGTTGTAATAGTTAATTAGGACTTTTACTTTTCATTTATCGCTTTATTTTTAAAGGGTTTGTTTTTGGCTATGTAAATACCCGAAGCCTTGTAATAGCGTAGTTTAATTTTCACATTTTAAATTCCGCAAAATATTAAACTGTTAGATGTATGATTAGGGTTGCATGACAAGAATGTATGATTAACTTTAAAACAGTTAGATAACCCTAAAATGTGCAAAGATAATGTTTTGAAATTGAATCACTCGCACATGCGCACTCCTAGGGTACACTCCCACTTGGTTGCCTTCGGTAAACAGTCATTGAGTATATGATGCTTTAGTGGTCGTCCTTTTGTCCAAAGATCAAAGTTGCCTCAGAAAGGTTACCCCGGATATTGTTGCCTCAAATAATTGATCTAAGACATTAGGGTTATTACTAAGACGTCCTATCATTGCTTTAGTGACCGTACGTCCCTTTTGAATTGACCCTTAAAACTCCAACGACGGTGCTACCTACTCACTAATAGTGGGATAGCGCTGTCTAAAGGAAACGAACATAGAACGATTCTTTTTTCGAGTAGGTAGATTAGTTCTTAAGTACTTGCTCAATCAAAACAAACTTTTTCACACTTACACTCCTTTACAAACAAAGTTTTCAAAAACACTTTGTTACACTCTTGAAGACAAAAGCATGGGTTAAATCGAAGTCAAAACAAAAACTTTTCAAACCACACAAACACACAAAGAAGCAATTTTGAAAATGATGAGCAAGTACCTAAGAGCCCGTAGAAAACTACGGATAGA